ATATATGAACCTAGGTCATCTGGAAGAACAGTAAGTGCTCTTAACCACTGAGCCAACTCTCCAGGCCCCATTTGTACACTGAAGTAGTGTAATCAGTAGTAAGATCTTCTGGTGATTCTAATGTCTGTTGTTTCACAGCAGTAAACGAGTTAAAAGCAGTATTTCAAGACATCTCCAATGCACTCTGCTCTGGGATGAAAATGCTTTACAACTGGAGAGAGGAGGTGGGTTTACAATATTGCAAGTACATTAAATGCCACTGAATTAGACATTCTAAAGTGGTTGACTTTTACACAATAAGAATCTTGCCTTTTTAAGGAAATTGAATTGAATTAACTGAAGAGAAAAATGAGCTTCCCAACAAGAAAATGAAAATGCATGGTCTGGATTTCCCCGGTGACAGAGGTGCTGCTCACTTTCCTGGGACTTCCTACCTGTTCTTAATTTCTGTTGTTGTGAAGGTAATACTTAAGCTCACAGTTCCAGGTTACAGCTACCGCCATCATTGCAGGGAAGTCACAACAGCAGGACTTGAGACAGCTGGTCACACTGCACCATAGTTAGAGGCAGAGAGCAATGCATGAATGCATCCTGCTACCTCATCCAGGATCCCAGTCAGGGAATGTTGCCAGCCACAGTGGTCAGGTCTCCCCACTTCAGCTACTCTAATCAGGGTAACCTATTGGGCTGACTAGATACCCATCTCTAGAGTGATTTTAAATTTGGTCACGGTGACAAGTGCCGGCATGCACAAACACCAACTGGCTCTTTTCTGTTTTTGTTTTTAAATAATTTATTTAACTTTATTTAGTGTGCATTGATGTGAAGGTGTCAGATCCCCTGGATCTGGAGGTACAGACAGCTGTGAGCTGCCATATGGGTTCTGGGAATTGAACCCGGGTCCTCTGGAGAGCAGTTAGTGTTCTTAACCAGTGATCCATCTCTCCAGCTCTCTTTTCTGTTTTTAAGGTTTTTTTCCCCTCAAATTCATGGCTAACAATTTTTATTATTTATTTATTTCTAGATCTAGAGGATCCAAGCCAGAGCCTTGTGCACACTGGGCAAGTGCTGCAACCCGAGGTGTCTGTCCTCCAAGTCCCTAAATTTTGTATAGCAATGGAAAACTAGCTTAATTCTTTGAAACTGTGTCATTATCTATCTGTCTGTCTGTCTATCATCTATCTAAAAGCAGAAACAAACCTGCTGCCTCGTCCATCCCCTTCTAGTTGATCCTCTAAGGTGAGTCTACAGGGAGCACATTGAGCTCAGAATGGAAGCCCTGTTTCCCAGTCTATAAGGTTGCCAGGCATCTTCTTCCAATTCTCCTTATTTGGAGTGAAGCCAGGACAAATCAGGCATGCTAAGAAGAGGTTAGCAGGGGGTCTCTGTGTAGGAGACTTAACAAAGAATAAACCTTAGGTTTCTGTCTTTTTGCCTCCGTTTCTGTCTTTCCCAACAACATCATCTGATCTCCATTTCCCCACTCTGCCTATTCTCCCCATTTGTTCCTTATATTCTTTAGGTGAGGTTGGAACCAGTTCAATTTTATGGGATGAGGTAGGGTGGGTTGGAATGTGACTTCTTTGTGGCCAGGGCACTATTTCCCCTGAACATGGTATTTGGTTCAGGAATGAAAATGAAAGCCACTCCAGGACAGACTCTTATTTTCTTGCTGGTCTTAAATCCTGTATTTCTTTGATCCAGTATGACTCCTGGTGACATGGTCACCACGGAAGTGAGTAGAGCTTAGAAAGCCATTAATCCTCAGACCAAGCCACCTGAAGAGTATATTTTTCCTGGCCTTTAAAGCTATTTGAGCCAATTGTCTTAGTTAGGATTTCTATTGCTGTTAAGAGACACCATGACTACAGTAAGTCTGGTGGGGAAAACATTTAACTGGATGGCTTACAGTCCAGAGGTTCAGTCTGTTATCATGATGGGACAAGGCAGCATACAGGCAGACACGGTGTAGAGAAATAGCTGAGAGTTCTACATATTGTGCAAATAACAGGAAGTGGTCTGAGACCCTGGACATTATTTTGAGCACGTATGAGACCTCAAAGCCCACCTCCCCAATGACACACTTCCTCTAACAAGACTACACTTACTCCAACAAAGCCACACTTCCTACTGGTGCCATTCCCTACGAGCTTCTGGGGGCCAATTACATTCTAACTACTACATCAACTACTACTCTCTCTCTCTCCTTCCTTCCTTCTTTCAAGCTGTTTTAACTTAAATTTGAATCAAATTAAGTCTAATACACTAAACTTAGAGACAGTAAATAATATAAGGAAGATCAATGGAGACCTGTTACTTTATAATACCGGAATCTCACTGAAGAAAACTGTGACCCCGTACCCAAAGCAATGGAGGTGGATGGCAAGGATATATGACATTCTTAGTACTACACAAGGAAAAGGAACTCAGGTTGTCAGTGATCATCTGTGATACAAAGTCTCCAGCTCGGACAAAACAGCCCTACAGACTACAGCTAGGATATCTGAATCTTCTTCGAATCCCCCAAGACAGCGCCCCTTACCAGCAGGAAGTAGTTTGGAAAGAACAACGCCCAAATTCCCAAATATTGTGTATAAATGTTTGCTTTCATTTAATTGGACTTTGTTATATAAAATTAAATTAAAAAAAAAAAACAAAGTCTCCAGCTCTACAGAGGACATGTCAGACTTTCAGAGTTGAATAACTAACCGGGTCCATATTTTAGGGTCACTGGTGTCTAGTACAGCTTGGCTTTTCTGCACTTAACCACTAGAAGAACCATGGATCTTCCATCATAAGCATTCTGGCTCCTTAGCAGTTCCGATTGTCAAGATCAGCTTCATTGGGCAGTCTTTGTTGCATTTTTGTCACTGGAATCAGTTGGAACAATAACATGCATTTCTGGGGATCCCAGTATTTGCAGGGCTAGTCTACCTCAATGGTGCTGAATAAGCCCACCACTCTCTCTATGTGCACACAGCTGTTCATGGCCTCTTTTAAATCCACGCTGGGCTTGTGATTGCTTGGTGGATGAAACACAGAGGAAGAGACATACTTCAGAAGACCCTAGTGCTTCTATTTCTTCTTTTAGAGCCCTGAGTTGCCCTGTTAGTGACCTAGGATGACCCCAGCTGGAGATCATCCACAAAAGTAGTATTCCCAATATGGAAGCGGGAGTTTTGTCAAGGGACATGGTGGTGCCAGGTGTCCAAGATCCATCCACCTTTTCTAGGCACTGGCATGAAAGACCACAAGTGAGACCAGTAGAACTGTCTAGCTGAGCATGATTCATGAACTATAATAGAATTATTGCTTAATGAAGCCAAGGCTTTTGTTACACAATTAGACTTCTCCTCTGTAGGCATATAGTCACTCTCAAACAGGCAGTTCCCATTAGGCAAATGAATTACAAAAAGGAACCCTCTTCTTTAGGCTAGAGCACAGGTTACCAGGGCACAGCATTGGAACGGGAGTGGCCCAGCAGAATGAGTGGCCCCTCATTTTGGCACCCTCTGCATAAAATAGGCACTGAACAACTTGAGTAGCTCAGGCTTGGAGGTTATGGAGGAATATCTTCGGGAAGCTAGTATGCACCTGTCCTTACTAATTCCCCATGTATGATGGGCACTTGCATTGCTTTAACTTTGTCTAGCGTCCCATGGCACTAGAGGCCTACCTAGACTGGCACTGCTACCCTGGCAGATGGCATGCAATGATCATCTCAAGGCAATGCTGGAGCCATGCAAAAGCAAACTGTTTGCCTTGAATGGAACATCTGGTTCTTGGAAGGGCCTTTGTCCCTCAGTGCTTTGCTCTCCCAGCTCTCTCTGCCTCAGGCAATAGCCACCCATTTCCCACAGACCTCCGTGAGGGACGTACATTTGTTTTTTCCTTGTTATTTCTGGAAACTATTTGACATTCATATCTTTTGGGCTGATTTGGCATGAGGTAGAGGCAGCTGTTTTCCTTCACACTATACCCTGTGTTGCTAGTGTAGTTTGTCTGCCGGATGTTAATCTTGCCCATACACTATGCAACGTTGTTGACTCAAGATAAGGTGAGGTTTGATTAATCCCTGAGCCCCAAAATACCAGTCAACTATTATTCCCTGACGCAAACATCATTAATCAGCCCATTTCTTTCCTGGTTTACCTGCAACCACTGTCTGCAGGTAATAACCCAGAAGAGATAAACTCTTAGTCTTTGAATGCGGCTATGGCTCGTTACTTAAAACTAGGACCTCACTACCAAAAACTGCTACTGATTAATTTTTTTTTCTGCATAGTTAGGGCAGAAACAATTAGTCGACTATCAAGATTGTACGTTTTGTCTCCGGGCAGATCAAGATACTGGATAGGTTAAGTCTGAGCGCTTATCTGTGCTTCCAAGTGATTGACAGGCCAAGGAAAAGAAAAAGTGAATGGAAAGGAAAAACCAAGGGAAAGGTGGAGATAAAAGTGAGCGAGAAGGATATAGAGGCGTTAGGAACTGCGTTAGGAAGAGGAGGAGATAGTAGGCGTGGAGAAGGCTAGGCGCAAAGAGAGCGGGAAGAGAGGCAGGGCAGGCGGGCAGGAGCGCGCCAGGCGGGCTCACTGCTCCCCGACGCGGGGGAACCGAGACAGGTCTTAAGCGACGCCTGCGAAGATCCAACCCCCGCCTGATGCGAAATGGTCGCGCCCAGCAGTACCAGCCAATGGGAAGCCAGGATGTTGGCAAGGCGGCGGTGAGCGGGGCTCTCGCTGGCTGGGGTGGGAGGGGGACGGCGGCCGCCGCCATGATGCTTGTTTGCTTTCAATGAAAACGAGGGGGGCGCGGAAGAGGAGGCGTCGGCGTCGGTGGCGGCGGCGTCGACGGCGCGGAGGCGAAGGCGGCGGCGGGCGCGGCGAGGAGGGCGACGCCGGGGACCGAGAGGGCGGCAGAGCGTAGCGGCGACTCGTGGGGTCCGGGTGGCCGAGACGGGCGGCTGAGGAGCGGCGCTGAGGAGGGGGAACAAAGAGCGGCGGCGGCGGCGGCGGCGCTGCAGCAGCGGGCGGGACTGGTATGGTGGTTCCACAGGGCAGACCCCGCTGCACTCACCGGGAGGAGGCGGCGGCAGCGGCGGAGGAAGGCGGCGCAGCTCGAGAGGTGAGCACGACGGGCTTAGCGAAGTCCCGCCGAGGCTCGGCTGCCTGCGCTCTCCCATCCCCCGGGGGCCGTGCCCTGGGGACCTCGAGCGCGCACTCGCACACAACTTAGTAGTTCCCTGAGTGACGTCTGTCGCCCCCCCCCTCCTGGACACAGCAGTCGCGATCCCGTCGGTCCCCGGGCCGCGCCCCCGCGCGGGGTCCCGGGGCTCGGCCGGGGGGGTGGGGGGTGTTGATTGACGGCAGTGCGGCGGCGTCCACAGGGGCGGTGGCGTGAGCCCTAGCTTCGGACCCCCCGGTTCTGATCACGCGCACCTGGAGAGGAGCTGGTGTCCCGGGACTTGGGACTAAGACCGGTGGCAACTTTGGTGAAGTGGCTGTGTGGGGTGGCGCACTGTGCGGCGTGGAACTTGGCACTCGGTGGACAAACTTAGCGCTTACCTTTTTCTTCCCAGAGTGTTTTAAATAAGTCATTTTTAACGCCGATATTTATTGTTAGGGCGGAGCGGATTACGTGGCCGAAGAAGTAATTATCAGATGCAGAGATTATGGACTCAGGACTCTAGTATTAATTCCTTGAATAAATTTTCCCCGACTTCAGCCAAAGCGAACCTAGCCTTATTTATGTTTCAACACCAATAGTTATTTTCTTTGGTAACATTTTTTAAAATCTTGCTTTGACTCCTTCTACTTTTGACAAGGTCTTCAGAGTCTGCTCAGAGGCAACTGTAATCCTTGCTTTTAACTGTTAACTGCAAGTGACAGCATTGTGAGCCACGTCTTGTTACTGCCTTTAAACAATCTGAATTTGAGTACAGGCAAACCTGTTTTACAGATTATTGCTAGGGCTAAATTCTTTTCTGCCTCTGGGATTTTTTGGAGAAGAGAGGGACTATGAATTAAACGAAAACCAATTTGGTTTGTAATAGCACCGTTTTCCACACTTCCCAGAATTCTCCACCATTCCACAACAATTCTGTAGGCAAAAGGTTGTAAAGACATATTTTGCATTTTGTAATTGCTGCCAGGCTTTTAACTTTGATGCTTTCTAGAATGAATTTTAGAGTTAAAATTACATGGAATTAGTGGTCTAGTTCTAATTCTTTTAAACTGCCCATGAAGAAACCGAACCCTAGAAAGAATAAGGTGACTCGACCAAGATATTACAGTTATGAGGGTAAACATCGGGCTTTTTGTATTTGTGAAGACATGTTAAGTGCAATATAATTATTAAGTTTTTGTTTTTGGAGAAGGAAGGGTTTTAACCAATACATAATATTTAAGCTAGATCAATGTGGCCATTTCTTAGTAAGTGCACAAGGTGCTTGCTAAAATGGACAACAAGTATGTGACAAAAAGACATTTTTCTTGTGTGATGGAGATGTCTCCTTGGAAGTCAATCCTTGTGCAACTTCAGATGTCTGGTGCTGGAAATTTTCAGGCTTTTTTTTTTTTTTTTTCTTATTTTTGAACAGACAGAAGTTGGTGTACAGAACTTTGTCCTGACTACAAATAAATATTATACATGCAATTTAAACTAGTATTTTGGTTAGTATTTAGACAGCTACTGTATCCATGTTAACTTAAAAAAAAATGGTCTCTATATAGTCCTTGTGGGCCTGGAACTCAGAGATCCTCTTGTCTTTGCCTCTGGAGTGCTGAGATAAAAGATTAAAACTATGGACTAAGTTTTTTATACAGTGCAGCCCAGAAAGGTAATCTGTGTAAGATACTGGAGTAGTGGTTGAAGCAGTTTATAGTTGTATTCTTTGGCCCTTGTGTGGTGAGACAGTAAAATCTTCAATTCATCTGTAACCCTTATCTATGTGAAAGATCCACTGGTTAGGAAACTCTGGCTTAGATGTTTTGTTACTTTTGAGAATGCCCACATATATTCACCTAAAAATGTATACTTGAGATTTAGATTATAAGTGTGCAGTGCTATTTGTTGTTCAGAAGAAAATTCTAGTTTTAATGTTTTTCAAACTTTTTAGCTTCTACAAAATCTTTGGTTGATGTACATTTTTCCTTTAATTGTACCTGTTATCAGGCTATGGCAGTAGCCCTGTTAGAATGAAATGTGATTAATAAACACTATTTGTAAGTTAAGTGCAGACTAAACTCAAGTATAATCTAATTGTATGTGCATAGCCTATGTGCATTTGAGTACAGTGGAATGCAATAGAGTTTGAGTTTGGTGTTTGAAAAAGTAATTGAAGAAAAGAATGGTTATTTGAATCTAAGATGGAGGTTGATTCGGGCTGCCTTACTTTTACCCTTTGGATTTTACTCGTCTTTTGTCCATTTATATTTTTCTGGTAAGTTGCACATCAAGGAATAGCATGTGATGGTCCTGAGGTAGTTGATGAGAATTCAGAGGTGACCCTATTCATTTTCTGCCTTCCTGTCCTGCATAGGAGTAATGGGTGCACAAAATGCTTCAAGGAACAGAAGAATAATTAGACTTATGGAGGGTGTGGTGCCAGTTTAAAAAAAGTAACACTGACTAGAAGCTTGCCAAGTTGGAGAAGGGGATCATTCTAAACAAAGAGAACAGTGAGTGTACTGAGGTATCAGGTTTGGGGGTAAGGCCAATGGTAAGATGTTTCTGGAACAGTGGGAGTGACTTGAACAATTTTACAAAGGTGTGTCTAGCCCAGATTTTGAAGGACTGTGCTTGCTAAGCTAGAAGTTTATTCCTTTCTCCTGTAGCAAAGGAGGCTCCTATTTTTATTTCTTATTATTTATTTATTTAAAGCAAGGAATAAAGTGATTTAAAGGTAACTTGGCATCCATGTGGGGAATAGATTGTGCAAGTAAAATTCAAATCATACTTGAAATAATACTGAGTTAGTGACTTTATTTATTTATTTATTTATTTATTTATTTATTTACTTTGATATGGTGCCTGTGGCTCCTTTTGTAATGGGCTTGAAGGCTGCCCAGTTCTTTATAATAAAGGACCGTGTAAAATCAGAATGTTAGTGTTTTGGAAGATGTTAAAAAGCAGCCAAAACAGTGAAAGCCCTACCTAATATGGTACACAGGAAACTTGAGGTTTGTGACCTTTGCTTCTTAGAGCTCAGGCAGGCTTAAGAACTTAAATGGAAGTCAACCCAGAGCCCAACTAGGAATCAAAATGGTCAGGCTGTTTAGAAATACTATGATTTGTTAGGATATAGTAAGTATTTTGTGAAATTTTGGGGGAAAGATGAGTGTTTTCCTAAATTCCTGGAAGGATAATATTGAAACTATGAAGTCATAGATCTTTTTATTTTTATTATTACATTTTTCTTTTTGATTTCTCGAGACAGGATTTCTCTGTGTATCATTGGCAGTCCTGGAACTCAAAGAGGTCCACCTGCCTGTCTTCTGAGTGCTGGGATTTAAGGCATGCATAACCACTGCCTGGTCATAGAACTCAGTATAGCTGTTTTTACAGGTTTTGTATGGAAATCTCAGGACTTGTGAGGAAGTGGAATTGGGGTACAGCGCACAGATCATTAAAAAGAACAGGGGTTTGTTAAGAATAGTATAGGAGTTGGGCAGTGGAGGGGAACACCTTTAATCCCAGCACTTGGGAAGCAGAGACAGGTGGATCTCTGTGAGTTCGAGGGCAGCCTGGTCTACAGAGCTAGTTCCAGGACAATTAAGACTGTTACATAGAGAAACCCTGTTTCGTAAAACAAAACAAAACAAAAGGTATAGGAATGATAGGATAAAAAGATAGATTATTGAGTCTGCTTTTAAACTAAAAAGCATTTCTTAATCTCATACTTTACATTGGTATGAATTTTTGTGTATTGATACAAATGTAAGTTTATTTTTGTTAGACTCTATATAGTTTCTATTGTTTAAGATATTGCACCTACATCATTTCAAAATGTAATGTATAGTTCTAGTTCTTAGAAACTTTATTACAAATTATTTAGGATAATTAAATGCAAGTTAGTAGTTAGTCATCTATAATATAACAGTCAAACTTGCAGTCATGTTAGCTATGTTTTCAAGGTCGAACAGAGATGTGTTTTAGATAGACGGTCTTCAAACACTTCAAATAATTACAGAATATGACATTTAAGATGTTTTAATAACAAGGCTTTTCGTGACAGTGAGACAAGTCTGCTCCTCACAGCAGCAGTCTACTTCAAAAAAGATGGGCATTGAAAAACCTTCATATGGAGTTTGCTTTCATTTGTGGCAAAGTTATCCACTGGACAAAGATACCTCTTACTTTGACTGCTAACAGTATGCTGACCAAATTGGATAAGCAGGACACAAAGGCAACTGCTGAATTTTGCCAAGACTAAGTGAGACAGTCCCTCAAAATTCCTGCTTCATAGCTGAGTCTGTCAGATATTTTAGGTCTGTAGGCTGAAAATGGATGTCCTAATGTTGCAGAGGAACCCTGGGGTGACTGTCCAGGCAGCCAGATGTCTCTGTTGTTTCTTAGTTTGGAAAGTTGTTTGCTCTGCACTTTCTTGTTTACTCAGATAATAGTATATCCATCTTTCTTGGATCTTTGATGGGGTTGAATTACCAGATAGAGTTTTCCTTAGTCATAATAGAAAGTAAATTAGGTGCAAAACTTTGGACTCATCTTGAGAGGATAGATATTGGAGTTATTTCTCTGAATTTGCAAAATACAAATGGACTAGACATGATGGATTTAATTCTTACCTGATAATTGGTCTTACTGTATATAGTTTTATTGTGTTATAGTTAAAAAACCTTTCCTTTTTAGACAAAAGGGGGGGATATTGCAGAATATTTGTTTACACTGTGTGAGGATGTATCACAGTGATTGGTTTAATAAAGAACTACATGGCCAGTAGCTAGGCAAAAGAGAATAGACAAGACTTGTGGGCAGAGAGAGGAACCCAGGATGAATCTTGGTACTTGAGAGATGCCAGCAAGACTCTGAAGTCAGACATATGATACAGAGGAGTAGTACCCAAGCCATGTGGCAGAACATAGATTAGTAAAAACAGGTTAATTTAC